TATAGACTTATACTATAGGGGGTAATACAAAAAAAAATGGGGCAGAAAATATCAAAATAACAAAAGAGATACAACAACATTTTATTATTTAACATCATCAGCTATGTCAAGCAGATCATCGGCATCCAGGTGCATGATATTTTCATTCATCACATCGTCAAATGTGTTATCGTGGGCAGCGTGGTTTGTTTCGATAGCAACTCTTCCCTGCCTTTCTTTTGAGGCCCGATACAGTTCAGCCAAGTGACTGGATGTGCGACAAACATGGGCCCAATGGCCTTTGATTCCACACCGGGTGCATTCCTCGTCATTATTTTTGTTTCTTCCGGTGTTGATCCTTTGTTGAAGTTTGTACGACCTTCTATCATTATAACGCCGATTTGGCACATATCGGGGCCTGTTTTGATAATTATTGCGACTGTATGCATTTCCCCGGCCCCGTCCACGATTCTGATTTTGATCGCGATCAATTCGCTGATTTCTGACTTGCCCATGACCACGCACTGGATTTGTCTGATGTATTGCATTTGCTTCTGGAAATAGATTTGCACATGTCGGCCTAGATTCGTGATTTATCAACAGCAATTCATTATTTTGTTCGGCCAACAAAAGACAGGTGATCAGCTCAGAATATTTCTGGAAGCCTCTTTCGCGATATTGCTGCTGCAAAACCATGTTAGAGGCATGAAAAATGGAAAAAGTTTTCTCCATCATATCAAATTCAGATACATTTTCGCCATAGTGGCGCAGCTGTGATGTTATTTTAAACATGACAGAATTATATTCTTGGACTGTTTTAAAGTCCTGAAGCCGGAGGCTTTGCCATTCGCTTCGTGCCCTTGGCAACAATGTCAGCCTCAAATGATCATATCTTTCTTTCAATCTCTCCCACAATTCAAGTGGGGATTCTAGCGTGACATACTGCATTTTCAGTTCCTCATCGATGTGATGGTACAAAAAGATCATGGCCTTTGCACAATCTTGGCTCGGGGAGTTTTTATCCCGGGCAATGGTATTTTCCAAGCCCATTGATACCAGATGCATTTTAACATCGCGAGCCCATGCCATATAATTTTGGCCAGAAACAAGGAGAGAAAGAAATTCCTGTTTGACAAGGTTGGACATAATAAACAGATAAAATATAAAATATTACCTTGCGGAAAATAAAATATATAATCGTGCTGATAACGTATTGTGATATTATTATAGGATTAACCAATAGAAATATTAATTACTTCTACCGCTAACCACTATTTTGTATATTATATAAATATGTATATATTAGATATATATATATGGCTTGTGTATATAATAATAATAGTGAGATAATATGTTGTGTGCGCGTGTGTTATATATACATAGAATGTATGAATATATGCAGCACAACAAAGGGAAATGAAATATGTGAGAGTAAATAGATTGATTGGAATCAATCTGTAGTGTAATATTTTATTACAATAAAGTCCTATTTATAAGAAACATATGAGTCCACAATAATAGACTACAAATTATACAATGTTTCATCTACGAAGATGAAACTTAGCAAGAATAGTTGCATCCACAACCTATACACGTATGTATGATGTGTGTAACAAATTTATAATTTTAATAATAAAAAAAAAATAAGAAAAACAAACAAATACACGCAAGCCGTCTGCAGTTTGTCTGTCAACCAAGGGAGATCCTAAATATTAGATAAAATTATAATATGTTTACTTTGTTAATTATATAGTATGATTAGTTTTTATTACCCAAAATACCAATAATAATGTTATTATAAATGATTGTAATATCATTTATTTTATTTTATTTTCTTTCTCATTATAGCAATATAATATACTCCCTTCGTCCCAAAAGTATAATCTTGTTGTGTTGAGCACGAGATTTAAGGAATATTGATATTATATTAGTAGTTAGTAAAAAGTAAGGATAAATGACTTTTTTTATCCTTATCAATATATTAGTGTAAAAAGTAATGACAATTGTGTAATAATAATGAAAAAGTAGAGATAATTTTATGGTAATATGGTTATTTATGGAAATGAGACTATTGTTTTAGCTCGGACAAAAATGGTAAACAAGATTATTGTATTTGAACGAATGAAGTATAACAATATTAAAAATTAATTGAACTATTGTCGTAACATAATATGTATATATATAATTTGATATATTTTTATTATTTATTAAAATATATTTAATTTTATCCCCAAAATTATAAATTAAGTTTTAGTAACATATTTTATAGTGTTCTTATCACTTAACATTATTGATAAAATTTTAAAAATATATGTAACTTAAAATTTCAAATGAAATCAAAATATATTCACAAAATTATTATATTTATATAAAAAAAATTTCTAAAGTGTTTAAATATAAGGGTAATTTAGATAATTTAGTACGTAATAATATTAGGGGTATAGATTAGTATAATTGTAATAGACTTTTAATTATACAGAATTCTAATACATTAAAGTAAGGGAAAAAATTATTTTTGGTCCAAATATAACCAAAATTCATCAATTTTAGTTCCAATATAAAAATCTTATCAATTTTGGTCTCAATATAACAAAATTCATCATTTTTGTCCCAATATAATCAAAACTCATCATTTTTGGTGTCAATATAAAATTTTTATCAATTTTAGTTCCAATATAACCAAAACTCATCATTTTTTGTACCAATATAATCAAACTTTATCTTTTTTGGTCCCACCGTCAACAAATCGACGGAAAATGTTGATGTGAAAAGAAATCAAACCTTATATTTATATTTGAAGAAATTGTACAATCTTGCAAGTCCACGTCAGCATTTTTCGTAGATTTGTTGATGGTGAGACAAAAAAAAAGATAAAGTTTGATTATATTGAGACAAAAAATGATGAGTTTTGGTTATATTAGGACTAAAATTGATAAAAATATTATATTGGGATAAAAAATGATAAGTTTTGGTTATATTGAAACAAAAAATGATGAGTTTTGATTATATTAAGACCAAAATTAATCAAATTTTTATATTGGAATCAAAATTGATGAATTTTGATTATATTAAGACCAAAAATGATTTTTTCTCTGAGATTAGATCGAATTAAATAATATAATCCACCGTAATCTTATAAAGTAATCATATCCTAACAGTATACATAAAAATCGCTAGTTAAGTACATCGTCTTCCTGCTCACAAATTGAACCCTCGATTCAAGACAAGATCCACATGTTCAAATTAATAACATGACAGTTACTTTATTACCAACAAGTTAATTATAATTCTTAAACTTAATAACAGAAAAATAAAAAAATAATTTCACTCTGATAGAGAAATTAGAATATATATATATATATATCTATTATATTCCATGGAGGATGATAATGTGTGTGTGTTTATTCATAATAGCCAAAAAAGTCCCTTTACATTTTAATCGTGACCACATGTGGAGGTGGCCGGTGGGGATGAACTGCCCTCCACTCTTCGCTACTGTCGGCGTACATAATAATAATAATAATAATCATAATAATAATAATAATAATAATAATAATAATAATAATAATAATTAGATAAATTAATTGCACTTGTTGTTGTATTATTGATTATTGATTATTATTATTGTAATTAATCTATATACGGTTGTTACATCTATAAATAGGTCGTCGTGCATGATGTCCTAACTCCTAAGCATATAAATAATAATGAAGAGATAGCTTCGAGTATTAATATTTTAATTGTGTGAGATACTTTTATCAAGCAATTTAACCTCGCTTTAATTAGTTAAATACTCCTATGGCGTTATAAAAGTATACTCATTTGACCGGACATATATTTTAAAATAAATAAATAAATATAGAAACTTTTTTCGCTGTAGAAACTTTTTTCGCTGTAGAGAAGAAGTAGAAAAAATAATACTTCTTCGGTTCTAAATACCCAGCACTGCAATATTTCTAAATTTAAAAATAATTAATTATATTTTTATATATACATAAATATATAATTCACTTTATCTCGTCACATTACTTAAATAAAAAATATATATATATTTCTCTCTCTAATCACATCACCTAATCTCCAAATTATTTCAAATTACTCTACTTAATACTTTCTATCTAAATTCTCAAGCCGAATTCATATGTTGCACGGTATTTGAAAGGGAAGGAATAATTTTTTACTTAAAAAAAAAACGAGAATAAATTTAAGTGATAAATAAAAAAGAAAAATAAGGAACAAATTTGGATGAGAGAGGAATAACAATTTACTTAAAAATAAAAAATAAACAAATCTATACTTAAATATTTTGTTTAATTAGGACATACTCCCTCCCTCCAATTTTTATTGTCCTAAAGTATATTTGCACAATTTTTTAAATAATTATTTTTTTGTTATGATTTGACAAATTTGTCCTTAATTGTATGGTAAAGATTAAAAATAATATACGAATGAAGGGTAGAAATATAAAATTTGTGTTTAGAAAAAAATAGGACAATTATTAAACATTCTAAATAAAAAAGTAGGAGATTAGATTAGAGACGGATGGAGTATTAAACAGTATAACTGAAATTAACTGTAGGGAGAGGAGAGCGTTAATTCTAAAAGCGTGATTTATGGGGTAAGCCTTCTCTTCTCCTCTCTCCGGTCATGAGAAAGTTAACATTTTCATAAACCGTTTGACACTTTTCACATTATTCAATTGCCACCGCAAAAAGACCACCGCACCGAATGACACGGATCAACGCGCCATAATCTAGGCAGCATGATTCTGCCCAATATATAGCCGACACGTCAGCATCCTTTCAGGCTGGTCACTAAAATAATCATTTCTTGTTTCTTTTTATCTTTTCAATAATCACTGTACACTATTTACTCTCGTAGCTGGTTTGTTATTTTTTTAAATTTATATTATCAAGGAATAACAGCTTTGTTTCATCAGAAATTAAAGAACCCGATTCTTATTTATATTTAAATTTAAATTTAAATTTAAATTTATTTATTTAGAAGAAAAAGGAAAGTGTTCTTGATCTGTATTGATGTATGATTATTTACATATACATACAAAACAAAATCAATCAAAGCATGCAGAAATAAAAATCTTTAAATTGCCCGGCAAAAAAATAAAACAACACACCGCCACCGCTCTACATTCCTCAAAAACCCAACCAGGCCAGATCTCCAGAATTCCTTGCAAGATCCACCAAACCAGCAAGCCGATCGAGAAGGATGTGCCAGTGACAGTGCCATTACTCGTAAGTAGTTAAAACTAGACTCACGAAATCAGTGCTTTATTTCATAGATTTTCAGGTCTCAGCTTCTTCACTTTTTCAGACTTTCAGTGGAGCGCATTTGGGGATTGTACTCTCTACTACTGCTTAATTAATTTCATCTCAATTTCATTAAGGTAAGGGTACTGGAAGTCGTCAGGTCCATGGGGTTTGGGGCTGTGATATTTGTATTATTTGTGGTGGTGGGCGGCGGCGGATGGAGGGCGGATTGTTTCGAGATCGATCAATTGTTTGGTGCGAATCGGTCAGAAACGTCGGTTCTGGAGTCGATGTCGTATTTGGAATCAGTGTATGGAGTTTCTGCTTCGGCTGCTCCTCCCAATGCTCTCATGGTGGGTCTTACTCTTGTTCAAGGAGCTGCTTCTAAAGGGGCTGGTATTCCCTTCTCTCCCTTTCTAGATTCTTAAATATCGACTTCATTTTATTATTATATTTGTGTTGAAGCTGCTGCGGTTGTTCTTAACCTAATGTACTCTGTTCTGAAATTTTTGATATACAGTAGCTATATTTGTTGCTTCAATCTTGTGGTATTTGCCCTTTTGTTTGGTTAGTGGGTTAGATTTGGCATTTAATTTTTTTCCATTTGTTAAATGCACACATGAGTATGATTGAAAGTGACTTGATGATGCACCTTTTGTTGCTCAATAGTGATATGTTACTTCAGATCTGCAGTGAATAATGAATGGTGCTCGATTATCATTTGTGTTTTTCAGATATATGTTTATCTTAATTTCTTCTCTAAATCTAAGTTGCAAGTGTTATGAAAATTTGTTTTGAGTGTGTGTATTCGATTGCACTTATATGTTATGGTTGTCTAAAACTTTTACAGTATGTTTGGATGGATCATTGCCCGGTTATCACTTGCATCGCGGGTTTGGATCAGGAGCGAATAGCTGGCTCATCCAGTTGGAGGTTTGTAAATGCAACCGCGAACACTTCGTGTGTGTGTGTGTGTGTGTGTGTGTATGTACATGTATCGGAAAGGTTAGGGTGGTGATTGATGGCTGATCAGCACATAAAATTAAGTATAATTCACTTGTAGTTTGAAAAGTTGGCACCATACCTCCTCATTATTTGGAAATTGCACGAGGCTCCCTCGTGTTTTGGAAAATATTGCACAAAGCTCTCTCGTGTTTTGAAAAATATTGTACATATTTTTCTAACTCCCTTGTAATTTTGAAAATATTAGCACATAATTCCTTAAAAAGAATTTTTTGGAATGCTTTTCAAACCACAAGGAAATCTCGTGCAATTTTTTTAAATCATGAGGAAGAAGGGTACAAATGACCTCACGGTAATAAGTCCAACTCCTACACCACCAGGCCATTTCTTACGGGACAGTTAGATTGTTATATTTGATTCTTATTGATGTGGTGCATATTGCTGAGGTTCAATCTTCGCTTCTCTTGTTGTAAAATGATGATTTACATAAGCTGTTGTTGAATTTGTGGCAGGGCGGAGGATGGTGCAATAACATCCGATCTTGCGTTTACCGTAAGAAGACGCACCGCGGATCCTCAAACTATTTCGAGAAAGTAATTCCATTTACAGGAATACTTAGCAGCAGGCCCCAAGAGAATCCAGGTTCCGCATTATTACTAGGATCACCTCATCTTGGTTTTTCCCGATCTAATCTAATGAATGATTGCAGATTTTTTTAACTGGAATCGAGTCAAGATTCGCTATTGCGATGGAGCCTCCTTCGCTGGTGACAGTGAGAATAAGGTTTCTGCTGTTTCCTTCATTCGACTCCCTTTGCATGCTCATCTAATCTTAGTGTATTTTTTTTTTTTTTTTTTCTCCATCCTTGGATAATTCTTGTGAAAGTGTTTCTACAGGCTGCAGGGCTGCAGTTCAGAGGGCAACGAATATGGCGAGCCGCAATAGAAGACCTGATGTCAAAAGGAATGAGGAATGCTAACCAAGTAAAAATTTTACAACTCATAATTCTTGATCTAATGTCGACAATTCTTTGGTCTTTTTTCATGTTTTGTATACAATTGGTGTTGCTCTCAGGCACTTCTTTCGGGTTGCTCTGCTGGCGGCTTGGCTTCCATACTACATTGTGATGAGTTTAGAAGTTTGTTCCCCGGACGAACCAGAGTGAAGTGCCTCAGTGATGCTGGCTTATTTATGGACTCGTAATTTACTCTTACTTTTTAGCCGAGTATTTGTTTCTCCGCTGTTTTTCTTTCGACGTTAATTCATTCATCTCTCTGCAGCCCTGATGTTTCTGGCGGACGTACTCTCAGACATTTCTTTAGCGGCGTTGTTAGTTTACAGGTACCTATCGATCAAGTATTTTTCAAATTATTCATTACATTGATGCCCGCTAATCGTTGTGTTCTTTTCACACTTTTAATTTTAAAAGGGCGTCCAAAGAAACCTGCCAGGATGGTGCACGAGCCGTCTTGATCCAACATCTGTACGCGACTGTGCAACTATTTTTCATACTATATATATATATATATATACACACACAGACACATTGTGTAGATGTTTAAATGATCGCGTATGTATGCTTTGGCGTGCAGTGCTTCTTCCCTCAGAACTTAATTTCGAATGTGAGAACTCCTCTGTTTATTCTGAATGCTGCCTACGATTCATGGCAGGTAAGAATGGTTACATTCATTCCCATTCTGTGATATGTCCTTTTTCTTTGTTTCGGGCGTGGGTGAGTGATGGGTGTGTGGTGTTGTTGTATTTATGAATATGTATATAAAGCTCCAAGAAAGCTTGGCTCCTCCCACGGCTGACCCTCGCGGTATTTGGCATGACTGCAAGCTCAACAACGAACGATGCTCTGTGACACAAATCCAGTTTCTGCAAGGTATATATTTATGTAGCTATAAACACGAATGCAATTAATGCTGATGATCGTCGATTTGATAAAAATGTTAAAAAGTAGATAATGTCGATTGAAAATTTGTAGGTTTTAGGAATCACATGCTGAATGCAATAAAAGGGTTTGCGGCGTCGCGACAAACGGGGTTGTTCATAAATTCTTGCTTCGCGCATTGCCAGTCGGAGAGACAGGACACGTGGTTTGCTCCCAACTCCCCGCTCGTTCACAACAAGGTATCCGTCCCAACTTTACCATCCACGTTCCCTTTGTTTGTAAGGGTGAAAGATAATTTCTCTTATCATCGATTGATTTTGAAATTGAGCTACGTATTTGCAGGCTGTGGCGACGGCTGTAGGAGACTGGTATTTCGATCGGACAAATGTCAAGTCCATCGACTGCGCTTATCCGTGCGATCGCACGTGCCACAACCTCGTATTCAGATCATAGTGTGGCGTGTATGCATGTAAGCTCTACCTATTAATTCTATTCTTGAATCTTGATTAGGTTCGACGTGCGAAAGAAAGAATATTTATTTATTACATGATTTATGAACGTGAGAATTAAATAACACTCTCCAAATTTGCATGGGAGGTAATGCAATGCGTATTCACGGCTCTTGAATGTATTGATACAGTAAACAGGAATCTTCATTACTTCTTGTTTCCTTTTTTGTTTGTTTGTTTTTTGGTTTTTTGACAGAACGGTGTTCTTCCTTTAGTTTGGTTTCTAAAATATTTACAATTACGATTCATTTAAAATGATTATTTTGGTGCTCCTATGCTGTCACCGAGATTACTTATGGGTATGTTGTTTCTCTCGCTTTGAATTTTGGAGGATGATTTAAATAGTAAAAAAATTGAATTAGAATAGTCACGTACTGCCCTATAATTAAGTATTGATACGGTGTTAATAAAAAATTAAATTTTTATATAATATAAAAATTAAAAAATAGATATATGATTTGATATTTTGTTAAAATAACAAATTTTATAAATAGTATAATTTTTTTTTAAAAAAAAACTTAAAAGAAATTTTAAATAGCAGTAATTTTTTTTTTAAAAATAATATATAAAATAGCATATTTTTTACCCCACAAGTTGTGTAATCAAATAATTATAAAAAAAAAAAATTACTCCGATCAAAACCAGATGAAATTGGCAAAATAGTTTAAAATTCCTATGTGGTTTTACGAAATTGTTGAAAACTCTTTTGTTGCTAAAATTCAAAAAACGTACATGTGGTTTCAAAATTGCTGCAAGAAAATTCCCATCCGTTAGAATTTAACAGATGATGTATCTCACGCGCTTCACATGCAATTTGTTGTTCAGAAACTGATATATTCTACTGCGAAGTTACTAAAATACCCTCAGTCTTTAATATATATATTATTCTGTCGTTCACATTGTTTATTTCATCTATCTTCTTCTCACCCAAAACCCAACCCTCGCAATCACTGATTGAAGTCCCACGCCGCATCTACCTTGTCGGGGCCAGAGTTAGGATTCCACAAACTTCGGGTATATCCAATTTTAATAGTAGTTGATTTTATTTTGTCGAGCTTTTGTAAATTGGTGTTTATTTTTTCCGAAATTTCTTTCTGAAATCGTGTTTGATTTTCTCAGATCTGGTTTGGGTTTTCTTCAGTGAGATTGCAATATTGTTGTGGATCAAGTATGAATATTGAAATTTTTTCATGAATCGGATTCTTGTATAGGCATGTGTCTTCAACGAGGTTGCAATTTTCTCCGATCTCTGTGTATATGTGCAAATTGGACTTCTTCTTTTTTGGTTAATTGGTTTTGGTAATTCATTTGGAAACTCAAAATCTCATTTGTATGTAATTGGTAGTGGCAACACCGTAATTTTTTTTATGAATCAATTTTGTAGGTAATTGGTTTCAGTATTTCAGCTTAAAAATAAACCCTTGTAATTTTTTGCACTAGACTATTTTAATCGGACTGGATCTTGTTTAGGATCTAATTTCAATCTTAAATTTGTAATTTTTGCGGTACTTTGCAACAAAATGAAGTGAAGTCTACACGGCTGACAAATGGTTTAACTGGAGGCAAGTGCGTTGATATGTTTGTATCTTTTTACAATCATTTTAATATCTACTATTGAATTTTATCAGAGATGTCATTTAGCGGCTCCAAATCAAAGCCTAGGGGGCAGGGAGATGTTGAGCGATGACATGGGCCCTTTCACTCATTATACCCACCGACCCACATATATATCGTGTATAAATGGTCCATTATTGAGGGGACCACAACCTACTGACTTCAAGATTGCTGCACCAAAAAAAAAAAAAAAAAGATAGAATTTCGAAACGAATCAAATGCCACATAAATTAGTAAATTTTTTCAAAGATACGACAAATAATGCACAACAATTGAGGGAATAATTTATCCAACCCAAACATATAAAATCTTAATAAAATCATATTTTTCGGCAAAAAAATGTGTGCCCAATCAGATATTGCCCCTGAGTCGTCGCTCAAGGAACGGCGAATGATACTAAAATCTATTTTTTTTGGCAAGAATATGTGTTCCTACTCACGTTATAGGAATTATACCCAAGTAGAAATTCGATGTCCTAAACCCGATTTTCAAGCCCTAGATTTGGGCGTTGATGGTCAAAACGCAGATGGAACAGGGACGCGATCGATGGCTGTGTGGGCGACCGTCGCCGTCGAGCGCGAGCGGCGGCGTTGAGAGCTAGGCGGACCCGAGCATCGAGAGTGATGCGGACCTAGGCGTCGATCAGAGAGGTGTGAATGGGTGCAGTGAAATCACGATGGAAAACCCTATCTTCCAAGTAAAAGAGTTAAAATACACATAAGCGTATAACGGTCCATTACGTGCAATATTTAACGCTATTAGTGTTATTTTACGTGCAACAATTTTAAAACCACAGGTAAGTTTTTTGGGATTTTAGAAGCGAGTGAGTTTTCAACGATTTTGTAAAATCACACAGGGGTTTTACGCTATTTTGCCTAAATTAAAAACCAAATCAAGAGCTCAATTAGCAATAAAAACCAAACAAACCCTATGGTTGTGTTTGTTTGTGAGTTTGGAGTATTGGATTTGAATTTTTGAATAATAAAAAGTTAATTTGAATAGTTGTATGATGTGATATAAATAAATATTGATATGATGTATGAAATGTAAAATTAATTTTTAATATAATATAAAAAAATAATATTTAATTTGATATTTACGGAAGAAAAAAAACCTGAATAAAAAAATATGAAATAAAACAAAAAAAAAACACAACCTAGAACTCTTTTTTTCTGAGTTAAAATATGTAAATTGAGGTACAGTAAAGGATGACCCGATGGTGTAGAGGTTGGACTTGTGACAGTGACTTTCTCGTCGGGCCTGATTTACAAGATATTAGATTCGGCCAAGGTTACCCAATGCGTACTTCAGACAGTGGCTACGATTTCTTCTGTCATAAAAAAATAAATAAATAAATAAATAAAAAGATATGTAAACGGAGAATTGATTGGTTGCTACGATAGTTTATGGTATTGGTGGGGCCTGCAGGGGATTGATAGATGAATTGAGTGAAAAGCGTGTTAATCTTCAGGGGACAGCGAAAGACCTCCGTGTAAAAGCTGGCTGACTGACTGATAGCCCAATTATGCTGTTTTATGCCATATTTTTTTACAGTATAATGTGTTTGTTTGGAGGTTTAGATTTTGAGTTGGGATTTAAATAGTAAAAATTTTGAATTTGAATAGTTGTATGATGTGATATAAATAGGTGTTGATGTGATGTTTTGAATATAAAATTAATTTTTAGTATAATATAAAAAATGAAAAATAGACGTTTGATTTGATATTTTTGGGGGAAAAAAATTGGATGAATAGTGGAAAAAAAAATCCAATCCCTCAAACAAACACACCCTAATTGACGGAGTTAAAATAGTACACTCTCCGGCTCAATTGACGGGATCCCGTATTTAAAATGGTACTCCCTCCGTCCTAAATACCCTATAATATTTTTTTTTTATTTGTCTCAAACTCACTGCAACATTTATAAATTTAAAAATAATTAATAATATTTTTATACATATATTAATATACACTTCACTTTATTCATCACATCATTCAAATAAAAAAATAAATAATCATTTCTCTCTCCAATCACATCAATTAATATTCAAATTATCTCAAATTACCACACTTAATACTCTCCACCTAAATTCTCGTGTCAAACACAAATGTTGCACGGTGTTTGGGACAGAGGGAGTAATATTTAATTAGATAATAATAGTGAATTATAATATTATATTCATTCGGATATAAGAGTTTTGTTTATTTTTTTACGATAATATTTGAATATTAATTATTATATCAAAATATAATAAAAAATAAAAAAATTGTAACAAGTAGGCTGAAACGTTGACCTTATTGAATGAGTTATTTTCATTAGTGTCTTATAATACTAATATAAGGATATTTGTACAAAAAATATACAAATATAAACATATTTTTAATATTAAGTATAATGATGCAAAAGGTAAATGTGACCTTAAAAACGGGCGAATGGAGTATTATCTTTTTAAAATATATTTTATATATATGATTAACAAAATTAGAATATATATTTAAAAATTTTAAAAATTATATCGCAATAAAAAATATATATGCAAATATTATTTTGTAGAGATAAAATTTTCAATAATACAAGTAAATAAAAAAATATATTTATTTTTTTATAATGAATATAAACTAATTTTATAAAAGAAGTGAAGTTTCAAATGCAGATAAAAATATTTATTTTTTTTAAGAAGAAAAATAGAAACATGAGTTTTGAGTGAGTCTTACCTGTGATGTATAATATATATGTTATGTAGTTAATTAAATTAATTTATATTTATTAAGTATGTTTTGATTTAATAATTTTTACCATTAATAAAAAAATGTCAATTGTTATGCCATATAAAAGAATAACAAAAATATCAATTAAGATGGGACAAAGGGAGTAATTTTTCTAAAAAAATATATCGAATATTTTCTTTTCTTTTTTTTTACTATTTATAAATTTTTTATTTTTTATTTATCTAAGATACACTACAAAAAAGTTGAAATTTAGCTTAAAAAAATATTTTTGCGACAAAACTCATTTTGTCACATATACCACGTTAGTAAAGGTCTTGGGATAAATAAGACTTTCGTAACAAAAAATAAGTTTTCTACAATGAAAGTTAATAAACAATATATAGCTACGAGAATATGATTTTGTAGCTAAAGTTTTTTTGCTATAAAATTAAAATTCATAACAAAAGAGTTTTAACAATAAAATATGTATGATTTTTTTAGGCAAATAGTTTTGGCTTGAAAAATAATTTTGCAGTTAAAACTTTTTTGCTATAAAAATACAATTTTCTAGCAAAAAGTTTTTAGCAACAAAATTAATTTTTGGCGATGAAATTAAATTTTTGTTGCTAAATGACACATTTTAACTACAAAAATATTTCGTAATTAAAAAATATTATAGGTAATTAGGTAACTTTTTGTACTGCTATTAACTAAGGGTGTGTTTCCTTAGAATGGTTTGAGAAAAATTGGGTTTCAATTTGATTTTTATTTGAATTTTAAGATAAATTTGAACTTATGTGTTTCTTTTGTATTTTAAGTTTAGTTTGAGTTTAAGGAGTTTTAA